AAATAGATTAAGTTAGCCTTTATATAGATTAGCAAAAGTGCATAAGTCGTTCATGGGATTGTGTGTTAAATGTTATAATAAAATCCCAACTGAAATACAAAATCTTAATGAAAGTAAATTTAAATTATGTATAAAGAAAGTATTATGTAGGAAAGCATACTACAAACTAAATGATTATATAGAAGATAAAAATGCTTGGAGGGTGGCTGGTTTGACTGCACAGGATAAAAATTGTTAAGGTTAAGAGGAATTTTGATCTCAATTATTAAATTATTCACCATGTTGTTAATTGTTGATAAACTGGATTTTTGTAAATGTGAGAGCCCTGTAACTTATTATAATTGAGTTAGACTTATAGACTTATAGTATATTGGTACTTGTGTCAGTTGGGAGTTGTCATGCTCACTCAGGAGTCTCATTGGCGGTGGCACGGGCACTGGACCGCTCGGTTCCCTATAATATGGTTGAGTTGGGCGGTGCTGGTGTACGTGTCATGTTCGTGAACGGACGCCGCCTATTGGGACTGGTCAACTCGAGACTGTCTAAAGTTGCTGTCCCTGAGGGTTATTTCTTTTTCGGATACTTGGGTTAAACACTAGTGTTACACTGTTCTCACATAATGGAACTATCTAAATTATGTAACAATGCATTGTAAAAAGTGATTGAAAAAGAGTAACCATGGAGTTTCTTGCTCGTTCTTCTCCATAGGAATCTACACTTTGGAAGGAGCAAATAGCTTCACTAGAGGACAGACGGACAGACTGACACATAAAGTTAAACCTTATGATATCTTTTTTGCTTGACGTTCAAAAGTGCCTTTTTTGGTCTATTTGAAATAAAGAATTTGATTTGATTTTTGATTTGATTGTTTTAGAGCAAATTTATTTATTTATTTCTTGCAACCTCATCTGTATTTTACATTTCAAATGTTTGTTATTTAATTAGTACATAATATTAAAAACTTATTAACTTCATTGAAACTAATGTTATTAAGGTTAGTTTTGATCTTGAGATATGGAGCCCATATGGCCTCCTCTTATTTCTTCCAGACATCTCCATTTCTCGCGAGAGTCATCCAATCTCGCCCTTCTCTAACTATATCATCAGTCCACCGTTTAAGAGGTATGTGGACATTCCTTTTCCTTATGGTCTTTTCCAGCATATCACTCTAATGGTGCATCTGTTGTCCCTGAGCCTCGAGATATGGCCAGTCCATTGCCATTTTAGTTTTAGAGCCTGGGTCAAAGCATCAGTAATTTTAGTTCTCGTCTGATAAGTAGACTGAACTCAATTTTTAGAGTAAATTAGTTGTATTATATGTATGTTAATAAAATTAGTTGAAGGTCATTTGGCGAACAAGATTCGTAGAAATATGAAACAAAAGGATTATATCCACCAAGAAGCAATGTCAACCGAGTTCGTACATCGCACACACCGAATTAATCTTGGTAGCAACCCTGTTTACATTTCTCGACTTTACCAAACCGATACCCTCACTCGATTATAAACCCTCCAACTACAAGATAAAGGTAGAATTTCCATTGCAATCAAAGCTGTAAGCTGAACACTGCATATCGATTATCGACACACAGATTAAGGATGTCACTTGCATGGATTTGCCTAATTCATAGTGCATGTGTCGGCGCGTCAGGCTGTGACACTGTGCGGGATATGGGATCGTGTTTACACCGTACTGATATTTCAGAAGAAAAAATGTCGATTTTGTATGTTCGTCTTTAGATCATAAGGATTGAGGTTCTTGTTACATTTCAGTAAAGACATTGAAATGTTAATCACAACGAAGAAGACTGAGCTTCTAAAAATCAGGTTACAGTAGACTCCGTGGAAGACAGTGCAGAAAACTTGCCCACATAAATATTACTACATTTTTTCGTATAGCTCCTAATGTAAATCCCTTCCCAATCCTTATATCTGCAACCCCTATTCTCAAAAGGCCGGTAACGCACTCGTAACTCCTTTGGTGTTGCGGTTGTCCATGGGCGGCGCCGATTGCTAACCATCAGGTAATCCGTCTGCTCGTTTGCCGACTTATACCATAAAAAACCCTTTCTCTCCGACCGCACTCTTGCGCTTATATGTTAACATCCCAATAATCTTAGAAACGTCATTTCAAATGATTCTATTCCTCTCTGCAATTTTAAAATACGAGAGTCAGACACTTATGCCCGGTTTCTGAAGGCGTCGGTTATGTTTAAAATAGTTGTTGGTTCAATAAAGTTATCAATAAGATAAACGTCGGTTAACTGTCACTGCGTTTCTGAATACGCAACGAGCCGTTCAGTAACTATGTAAAGATTAGTAAGTTCCTTAATTTGCCAATAGATGGGTCTTTTAAGGATAACAACTAAATTTTGATTTTATTTATTCTATTTCAGCTTTATTACATGTTTATTAGGTAAATATTTCTTTTTCAAAGTTTTAAGTTATAAAAAACTGTTTCATTTAAAATATAATGATAATTTGTTATTTAGCTTTGGCTGTATTGAACACCGTCTCAGTGTCAATAATAGAAAAAAAAGAAACGTCAAACAGACATTGTTGTCGGTTGCTTTGGAAAACGAAAACGAAATCTTAAAGTAAACTCTTCATCAGTAAACATTTCTAAAGGATTTCTCCTTTGTCTTAAGTTTCTGGGTACAGAAATACTAGAAATTAACTCTAGTACTTCCATATCGGACTCAGATGAACTGCTTGTATTTAATATGCTCCTATTCATTGCTCTTCCATAATTAGCAACTAAAGCAACTTTTACTTAATGAAATAAATTTGAAATTTACCACAAGAATTGTATAGTTTGACATTTGAAACGTCAAATAAAGTTATGGAACTGATAAACGGCACCAAATGGCGAGTTAAGATAGCTTTAGTTTAAACGGAGTTTATCTAACAATGCAATGCTCAGAAACGTACTTGTAAGAGTTATCGAACCAATAGCGCTATCGAATCGATAAACTGCCGTTAACTGTACCTCAGAAACCGGGCATTAGACACTTTGGTGTAACATCCAGCTTCTAAACCCCACTACACTGTACGGTAACAATCAATCGATCACAGGCTATGGCAGTATATTATCAGGAATATCCCAGACCTGGTTTACAGGCTACATTTCAGCCTTAGTAATTGAGTTATCAATTCTCAACTGTGTTCGACTTAAGTGGGTCATATGTTAAGTAGAGCTTATAATGATTGGAAGAGGAACATTGGATGGGTTTGAATGTTAAGATAATGTATTCAAGTTTGGAGACCCAAATTCCTCCCTCCCACTATCCCAAAATCGGTAAATCCCTAATCCTCAAAAGATCGACAACTGAAAGAAAAAAAGAATGTCGTTGCCTCCGAAATTTAATAAGTTCCGAGACAATCCTAGAAATGTTTAACGCTATTTCGTCAAAGGATATATACACAGGAATACAAAATAAAAATTAGGATGAAAAAGTTTTTTTTTTTTTTTTAATGTAATAAGTCGGCAAACGAGCAGACGGAATACCTGATGGTAAGCAATCAACGCCGCCCATGGACACCCGCAACGGAGGAGTTACGAGTGCGTTGATGACCTTTTAGGGATTTGGAGATTTAGGGATTGGGGAAGGGTCCAGGAAGGGGAAGGATTGGGCCTCCGGTAACCTCACTCACACGGCGAAACACAACGCTGTGGTTGTTTCACGTCGGTTTTATGTGAGGCCGTGGTATCACTCCGGTCGAGCCGACCCATTCGTGCTGAAGCATGGCTCTCCCACACTTCAAGTTTGACAAAAAATAAAAACAAAAGTATTAAAAAGACATAGACAAAATAAATTTACAAAACTACCAAACCATAGAACAAAATCCAAACCAGAGATGGGCAATGTTGTGACTCACTCGTAATTCTTCCAATTTTGTGGGTGTCCAGAGGCGGCGGTAATCGCTTACCATCAGCTAATCCGTTAGATCGTAGGCAGTCCCATCACATAAAATAAATATAAATTTAATATAATTAGATTCTTCATTTACGATGAACTAGCGACCCGCCCCGGCATCGCACGGCTGCAACGCTGATTCTAAATACATAATGTCCACGAGTTTACGATCTTATTATACGTATAAACTGTTCTCTTCAATTACTCTTTCTATTAAAAAAACCGCATCAGAATGCGTTGTGTAGTTTTGAAGATTTAAGCATATTAAGGGATACAGGGACAATAAAAGCGATTTAGTTTTTGATAATAATAATATAATATTTTTAATTAACTTACTAGGTGTATGACGCAACGCAACGGTAAAATCCCCAGTCCAAAACCTCATTCATCGTTGAAACGTTTGATGATGAGGAAATCTATACTAATATTATAAAGAGGTGACTTTGTAAGTTTATAAGTTTGTATGTTTGTTAGTTTGTATGTAGGGAGTAATCTTTGGAACCGCTGGTTGGATTGCCAAAATTCACTGATAGATAGCTACAATGTTCCTGAGTGCTATAGGCTATTACAACATCACGCTACGATCAAATGGAGCCGAGCAGCGGGTGAAACCGCGCGGGAGTAGCTAGTAGATAATATAATAACATGGGAATATAATTTAGGTTTTTTATTTAACTGTTTTTGAAGGTGGGTAATCAATAAATCGCTTCTTGAACTCTGGGTAGGGTGAGAGGGGGCATCAGATTCTTGCTGACAGAAAACCTCCCCGTTCCTTTTCCTACTCCAGGCCGAGGCTTGATCTGCTAGTCCGTATGATTTGGAATGATAATCGTAAAAATACGGCCACATATTATGCTCCTTATTTTAAATGTAGACAAGTCACCTAAATTTAAACATCCACATTAGAATTATCACTTAAAAGCAATCTTAACCTTTTCGGCATAAGAGACAACGAAAGAAGATCTTAATTATCTGCAGTACTCAATTAGCCTTTAATCATCTTGACCTAAAATGTATAGTAAAAGGAACCAAAACCTATATTTTTTAAGTCATTCTTTAATTTTGGGAGAGCCAAGTTTTGACATGAATGGGTGGCTCGACCGGAGTGATCTCTCAGAAAACCGGCGTGAAGCAACCACAGCGTTGTCTTTCGCCGTGTGAGTGAGGTTATCGGAGGCCGAATCCCTCTAAAATTCACGTATTAATATAGTTTTATACAACAGGATGCATTCACTTTGACAAATAAATCTGTCTCTTCCCAACCAATTAAGAGAGAAAAGGACAACAAATAAACAAACATGGTGAGTCAACAAGGAAAACTTGTTGGAAGGATTCAAGTTTCCAATGAACTTAGACGTGCAGTGTTCTTTAAGTAAAGAGTTTTAAAAGAAAGAGGTTTTAATAAAAAGTAATGATGAAAAAACTATTGTAAATGGAGTGTAAGATTTGGTAGACAGTGATTGTAGTTTAAAGACGAATGGTGTAGAAATAGAAGCCAAAATTTTGTAAGTAAATATATTTCGTCTTTTACTTGATGTTTCCTCATTGTACTCTTTAAAAATGTATCTGTGTTTGGCAGGTGAAATATGTATATAGATAATGTTTGTAAATCAAAACCTTAATTTCTAATTCTAACGTATTAGTAGTGTTTCTTTTTTCTAATTTAAATTAAAATAAATATTTCTAATTTGGCTTTTTTTAAACGAAGATGTAAGTGGCTGTTATGTCTGCTCTAATATTAAAGACGTGCTAGGAAAAGGTTTTTTTATCATTCGCACATTATTTTTGGTTTGAAGTCGACGGCCAAATTTTTATTGTCATTTTCATTTATGGACAAACTTATGCAGAATAAATGAGAGTATAATTTCACATTTGACCTATGACTAATACAGAGACTAATATAATTTATAACTGCGACTACTTTGGAAAACCCCAATTTACAATTCAAACATTGTTATTTCCAGCTTCATCGATGCACTATACTCTTTCATCGTCATACAAAATGTTCTGGCTACTATTATTCCTATATATACCAAATAGATCGAACCAAGTTGGCATAGTTGGTAATCCTTTAGCTCATGCCCGTCCTTGTGATGATAATACCAATGTAACAGCTTCTTTCGAATCCGGTCTACCACCAGGTGAAGAGAATCAATACTATTTAAATATAAGAGCGAAAATACAAAAGCATTCACAAATCAATTTGAAATTCGATTCTGATGCTACTGTTACTCTGGTGAGTGAAATTGGAGTACTTACTTATTTTATATTGTTAACAGTTACTTTATTATTGGCCCAAAAAATCTAGTATTTTTTTATGGAATAGGAGGCAAACGAGCACGCTTATCACCTGATGGTAAGCAATTATGGACACCCGCAACACTAGAGGAGTCACAGGTGCGTTACCGGCCTTTTAAGAAGAAGTACGCTCGTTTCTTGAAGGTTTGGAGGTCGTATCGGTTCGTGAAAACCACCGGCCGAAGATCATTCCAAAGATTTGCTGTGCGGGGAAGAGAGTTACGGGTGAATCATTATGAGTTCTATATGATTGTTATAGTTTTCAATGAGACCATTATTCTCCCACTTTGAATGTCTATTTGTTCTAGAAAGAACTCTGTAAAATGTAAGGAATTGCCTATATTTTCTTTTTTAATCATCATCATCCATCGATCACTAATATTAGTGATCGATGTCATCATCACATGAATCTTCCCCTGTGACTTTCAGATCAGCTAGTTGGCAAGTTATCTGAAGATAACGATTTCATTTCTATTCATATTTGATGTTATTGCTATTCATTTATTAATTTCCATTTGATATTTTTCATGAGGGAATTTGGCTAACAGACAGATTACCTGATAGTAAGCAATTGGCGACGCCCATGGAGTTACGAGTGCCTTGCCGGCCTTTTAGGGATACAGGATTAAGTGTGAAGAGTCAAGCTTCGGCACGAATGGGTCGGCTTGACCGGAGTGATACCACGGCCTCACAGAATACCGACGTGAAACAACCACAGCGTTGTGTTTCGCCGTGTGAGTGAGATTAGTGGAGACCCAATCCTTCCCCTCCCCCGATCCCTCACAATCCCTAAATCTTCAAAACCTTAATCCCTAATAGGTCGGCAACGCACTCGTTACTCCTCCGTTACGAGTGTCCAAGGGCGGCGGATTACTTACCATCAGGTAATCCGTCTGCTCGTTTGCCGACCATAAAAAAAAAGGCTTTCGGACATTTAAGGACTGGGAACGAATGGTGGTGGGTGAGGGATTGGGCCTCCGGTCACCTCACTCACACAGCGAAACACTCGCTGTGGTTGTTTCACGCCGATTTTTTGTGAGTTAACTTAATTATTGTCTTTACGTATTTCAGTCGGACCCAATGAAGGCTCGAATAACTACGTTTAGAAACGGAGGTGTTTTCAACGTAAGATTCTTTAAGGGATCTACTAATTTAAATATTAACGTCAGAGGTCCGGCCACGGGCACTATACCATATGTTCAAAGTATTGTATTGGATAATGATGAAATTTGTGCTAAACCAAAATCTGTAAGTAAATTTTGTTTTGATATTTATTTTGTCCATTTTTGCTTGAATATAGTTAATGTACTACTCTGTCAAGAAAGTACCGGGAAAAGGTCAATAATACACAAAATGTTTGTTATTCATCTAAATTTATTTTATCACCTTCAAAGTATGCTCCTTCAGAAACGATACACTTACGCCAACGAATAATCCAATCATCGAAACTTTTTTTAAACGCTTTTTCCGGAAATGAGTTCAGTCCTCGCCGCGAATTCTCCTTTATGTCTTCTAACGATTGAAAACGGGTGCCACGAAGGGGTAATTTGAGTGTGGGAAAAAGAAAGAAGTCGGCTGGAGCCATATCTGGTGAATATGGTGGCTGCTCGATGGTGTTTGTTGAGTGTTTGGACAAAAAATCGTTTACAATGATGGCCTTGTGCGAAGGCGCATTATCGTGTTGCAAAATCCAAGAATTTTCTTTCCACATTTCTGGCCTTTTTCGTCGAATTTGTTCTCTTAAACGCCGCATAACGCTCAAATAATATTCTTTATTTACCGTTTGACCTTCGGGCAAGAATTCTGAGTGCACAACACCGCGATAGTCAAAGAAACAGTCAACATGACTTTGACTTTTGATCGACTTTGACGTGGTTTTTTCGGTTTTGGTTCAGCTGGAAGGCGCCATTCCGAAGCTTGTTGACTAGTTTGCATGTCAAACTCGTAAACCCACGTCTCGTCACCAGTAACAATGCGTTTCATGAATGTTGGGTCGGTATTGACTTGTTCTAGCATGTCCTCAGCGACTTTCATGCGATTTAGTTTTTGAAGAAAATTCAGGTCTTTTGGGACTAGCCGAGCGGCAACACGTTTTATACCCAAATTATTTGTTAAAATGGTACGGGTCGACTCGTGAGATACAGAAAGTTCGGCGGCCATCTCTCTCAAACTTGAATGAGGATTTTCAGTCACTATTTTCTTCACTTTTGCGATGTTAACTTCAGTTGCAGACGTTGATGGCCTACCAGAACGAGGCAAATCTTCCATCACATCTCGACCGCTTTTGAACGCTTTGTACCACTCATAAGCACGTGTTTTTGATAAAGTCGATTCACCGTAAGCCTTCTGTAACATTTTGAGTGCCTCCGAACACGAAATTTCATTAGCGATGCAAAATTTAAGACAAACTCTTTGTTCGATGTTTTTGTCCATTATGAAATTTGCAATACACACTAGATATTATAAAACTAAAAACAACACTGTTTTTAATATAAATAACAGATGCAACTCAAATTCCGCGCCAAAATGGAAAACAGTTATGCCAATCTAACAACAGCAAAAAAAATTAAAATTCGAATTTGGAACCATAAAAAAAACATTCATTCCCGATACTTTGTTGACTGAATGTACGTTTAAATCTCATGCCTTGAATAATGGCTTACGTTATCTGTGCACAGTTATGCTATTTATTGTGCACTATAGCGCAACTTTTTTCTATTTTTATAACTTAATAGTCATAGGCATAGAGTAGATTAGTCTCGGTCTGTTTAACATATTTTTTCATTTATACTGCACATACACACAGTGTCTTATCAAGAAATATGTTTAATACTTATAACAGTACTGGTTTTTGCCCGTGACTACGTTCGCGTGAAATAGTGACGTTCTGCAGATTTTTGGTTTAAAAAATATCCTCTGTCCTATCTCGAGTTCCAAACTATGTCTCTGTACCAAATTTCACACACAAATAGGTTCAGTAGTTTAGGCGTGAAGAAAAGACAGACAGACAGTCAGAGTTACTTTCGCATTTATAATATTAGTTTGGATTTTTGGCCAAGAAAGTTAACAGTTTTCAGTATTATTATAACTTACTAGCTGCTCTCACAGGCTGCTTGGCTTCATTTGAACGTAGCGTGATTTTTATAGCGTAAACATTCCTTAATATATGGATTAACGAACATAAAAACAATTGTTCACTTCAAACCAGTAGTTCCGGAGATGAGCACGTTCAAACAAAACAGTACAGATTTAATTCAAATTGTAATTTTTTTTCAGGGTTATTTCGATTCATTAATCCAAGGCATCAAAGATACAGCTGAGATCAGTCTCACCGTTCCTGCCGTTGAATCTTGTGGTAGACGCAAAGTGGTCCATACGGAACTAATAGTCCATGGACAGCCGACAAAGTCCGGAGATTGGCCTTGGCATGTAGCTTTGTTCAGAGTTGAAGGAACATTCGTCAAGTACATCTGTGGAGGAACTCTGCTATCTAAGACAATAGTTTTAACAGGTAAGCTTTGTGCCACTAAGAGTGAGAGAGCCAAGCTTCGGCACGAATGGGCCGGCTCGACCGAGTGATATTTTGCCCTGTGATTTTGATGTGATCAAAGGCCCAGCCCTTCCCCTTCCCATCCATTCCCAATCCTTAAATCCCGAAAAGCCAGCAACACACTTGCAACTTCTCTGATGTTGCAATTGTCCAATGGCGGCAGCGATAGCTTACCATTGAATTATTAACCTGTTCGACGCCGACTCAGTAAAAAAAATGTCTCTCGAACTAGAATCAGTTTCTTAGTTACAAGTAAATATCATTTCTTTTGCAAGATATTAAAGCCTAAAGTTCTTATATAAAATATATTTTTTTTTTGTTTTCAAGCTGCACACTGTGCTTCAATCAGAGGCAATGCCGTTATTCCCAAATCTTTGAGTGTGGTTCTTGGTAAACATAACCTGATTGGTGGAGATGTCGCACCGCAAGAGAGAGAGGTAAATGCGTTTGTAAAATCTATAATTGATCCTAACGTAAGTTATTAAACGCTAAGTCTAGGTAGAGTTTTCTGAAAAAAAAGATATTTGAATGTTTTCATTCATCTTAAAAAAAGGCCTAGCTCTATTACAATATCTTCTAACATTTTTTTCTAAACTCAGGCGATTCTGAATAATGGTGGCACATATTGCATTTGACTGCACTGGTAGTCCGGTGGCTGGCAACCAGTTGCCCAGCAGTCGTAGTTTCGATTCCCACACGGAACAACTCTTTATGTGATCCTCAAGTGGTTGTTCAGGGTCTGGGTAGGATATGATGTATATATGAAACTGTATCTTAGTAAACGCACCTACAATACAAAAGAAAAACATAATGTAAGGCAACGTTTTAAAAAAAAGAAAAAGACGAAAAATTCAAATTCAAGCCTTATACAAATAAATAATTACAAATATTCTAATGATTTATCTTGTCAAATATCAATGAGTCTGTTGGTATTATAAGAACAGTTAATATTAGCTAGGACACAGAACAAATTATCCATAATTAATCCTTCTAACCGAGGTATAAATAGGAATGCCGAAAGGTGATATATTGGGTCCTATGCGGGTGAGCGATTTCACGGGTAATTTTTCCCAACACCTACAAATTTGGGTTACGGTAATTAATCAAGAACGTTAATTGCTTTTCCTGATAGTCTCGTTTGGTCTAGGTTTTAACGAATGGAAGGTAAATTGTCTAACTCATTAGGATATTAAAGATTAAAATGTTTCATTTTTATTCGCTTTTCAATATTCAGTCAAGATGAAGTTAGTTATTGGAAATATTAATGTTGATTAAGGAGTACCAAGCTCGATGGATTTTTTATCGTTCTATTAAAGGGTTAATAAATAAGCTTGTCTATTTTACTATTTAGAATTAATCACAGTAATTCATTATTTATAAGTGATATTTTTTGTATGTAATAGGTCGGCAAACGACCAGACGAATTACCTGATGGTAAGCAACCAGCGCCGCCTATGGACACTCGCAACGGAGAAGTTACGAGTGCGTTGCCGACCTTTTACGGATTAGGGATTGAGGAGGGATTGGGGCAGGGGAAGGATTGGGCCTCCGGTAACCTCACCCACACGGCGAAACACAACGCTGTGGTTATTTCACGCCGGTTTTCTGTGAGGCCGTGGTATGACTCCGGTCGAACTGACCCATTCGTGCCGAAGCATGGCTCTCCCACACTTGACGATCAAAATCAATTTATAACTAGTGTTGATTCTTATAAATCGTCTATACAATATTACAGGTTTTTGAAATCATACTTCATAAAGACTTCGATCCAAAAACATTGAATAACGACATAGCTCTATTAAAATTGAAGTCTGAAGCACTATTTGACGATTACGTGCAGCCAGCTTGCCTGTGGCAGTCTGGTCTCACGAAAAAACTACCGACTGGTGGCATTTATGGATCGGTACGTTGAATTTCTTACCTTAGCATTTAGTATTAGAGTCAGTTTTCCTTTTGTCCAAGCTGTTAACTTAGTTTGAACTATATATCAACCATGTTGATCTGATTACGTGACTGAATCATTAGAATCATTGTTTTTTTTTATGGCTCAGCTCGTATGGAAACAATCAGGTGATCAACCTGATGGTAAGCGATCGGATCCACCCATGCCCACTCGCAATACCAAAGCAGTGACAAGTGCATCGCTACCCTTTTGGGGGATATTAAGCTTTTCTGGTTTTAGAATATGGGATAGGAGAAGGAAATGAAAGGACTAGGCCTGTGATCACCTCATTGATACGAAACTTAAAGGCCTTAGTATACTTCGGACAAGACGGCCAATTTGTGCTCAAGCAAGATTCTCCACACTTTGTTCAACATTACCTTGACGTTTTTATTTTGTTCTATCAGGTGGTTGGATGGGGATTCGACCATCAAGACATTTTATCGACAACTTTGCAACAAATAAGTATACCAATAGTTTCGGAGGCGACGTGTTTGAAGAGTAATCCTGTATTCTTTCACAATAAACTTAATACCAACAAATTTTGTGCTGGTTTTGCTAATGGTAAGTTATTCTTTGTTTTACTGAAGGTAGACCTGATTGTAAGTGATCATTCGGAACACTAGAAGTTGCGTCATAAGTGCGTTGCAGACCTATTAAGAAGGAATACACTCAAGCCTTGATGGACACACATGGACTTGATGCTTGTCATGTTTTAGGATTATTTAATTTTGACCTATGTATATATGTATATAGTCATCAACCTTTTGTATGAAGGGAGAAAATCAGCTACTGATTTCTTCATCTTTAGGCATGGCAAGGGGAGTGTCATAGTTTTTCTGACTAAAACCCCTTCGTTCTTTCTCCTTCTCCAAGCCAAGCTGACTGATTGTTTCATGAAAACCACTAAACATCGGCCATGTTGGGCCCCATCTGTAGTGGTCTATTGCTTTTTTGAGACGCACGCAAATTGCTACTATTAACCGATATTAACCTGTTGTTAAACAATCAGCGCCCTCGTTGGATACCTGCAACACCAGTGGAGTTGTCCGCTTCTTAGGGATTAGGGTTTCGAAGACTTTTCAATTGTGGAAACCGGTAATCTCACTCACTTCACGAAACACAATGCCGTAGTTATTTTACATCGATTTTCTGTGAGACCGTAGTATTACTCCGGTTGATCGTGCTCATTTTTGTGCCGAATCTTGGCTCTTCCACATTTAGTTTACAGTAAACATACAGAAGATTGAAACGAATGCCGTAATATAGCGAATTCACTTCAAACTAAAATGATGTTTATTTAACATAAAATAAAATAAGTAATTGAATTGTTTCACTCCGAAACAGTACCTCCGATAGCGTTTACTCGAATTATTTTGTTCGGAAAATTGTTCATTTAGCGATTATTCCATTCTGGGAGTTATTGAATGGAAAACAATATTTATTTTCCGTGATTTTCAGGCCACATAGCAGCAGTATATATATTTTGTTTTAAACGTGAGAATATAAAATATGCATTTTTTTGTTAAAATTGAAAATCTACACGGTGGCCCATCGAAATGTCGGAATAAAATGTCAAGGATAGTTTAATTAAAGGAAAAATCGTTTATAAATAGTTACTCTATATGTTTGGCGCAACGCAACCGGGTTCGCGGGTCAGCGCTGAAAACCAGCGCTGTTGTCTCGTGCCTGCATGCGCGAGGCACAGCATTTATGCTGAGCGCTGTCCCTTTTACGCAGGGTGACGCAACTGCAGCGTATTTAAATGTTTATATGTTTGTGTCGTCGTTAGTTTTACTTGTTTCTTTTGTTGCTTTTGCGTCTTTTGCGTAAATAAATGGTTTTTCTTTCTTTCTTTTTTCGTCTTTTAACCGTCCAGCCCCGCAATTTTACTTGTAAGCATTTTTATAAATGCGTCAATTGTACGTATAGTTAATTCGCAGTCAGCGGTCAACTTGTACAAATCAAATCAAATTCTCTTCTAATTTAACCATTTAAACCAATAACTTGTAGAATTTAATATAATTCGTAGTCAACCATAAATTAGTATATTTGTATCTCACCATTGATAATCAATACAACTACCATTCCTCGACCAATTAAATAAAACCATAAACAATGCTAAAAAGGTACTCGCTTCGTACGTAGCAACACGCAACTTTTTACAGTATATTCACAAAATATTACTTGATAGGTTACATTTCAATATTTCGTGAACATTCATGCATGCATGTGAGTAGTTAGTTTCTCAGTACGGGTTGAAAACCTAGCCGATGGTACCAATGTGACTTTTTCCATCTTATATGTACTTTCTAAGATTTTTTTGACACCACATACGGTGAAGGAAAACATCGTGAGGAAACCCTGGACTAATAATTAATGACTGTAAAGTTTTAAATCGCCAATTTGGCGTTCTTCTACGAGTGAAGAGACGCCTTTGTTCAGCTGTAAGCCTTTATAGGCTAATGATGTAAAATCTCCACTGATCTGTGTCTGTACCTAGTGCCTGTCATTTTAAAATATTATTGATTTATTACCTCCTTCTTCCCGTGGGTTTGTTGGCCGACTTTAAGGGAAAGCATAATAAAATGTAACAGCAACTGGGCAGAAGCAGTTTTTGAAAAACTTTAACCTTCAAAACCTTTTTTTCTTTATAAAGGAGGCCCAGAGTCCATTACTCTTGTAATAATTGAAAGTCATGCATGGTTACGAGCTCCATTCATGACCTGAAACTAGACGAGCACCCTCGAAAAAAAGTAGTAAATTCAATGAAGTACTTTTCTTCAAAAAAAAGTTTTCTAGGTTGTCATTACTTACACATTTTCATCTATATTACAGGAACGTCAGCCTGCAATGGAGACAGCGGAGGAGGTCTGGTAATCTTCGTGCCAGATGTACCTGGCGCAAAAAGTCAAGATTCTGGCGCCTGGCACGTTCGTGGTGTAGTATCTACGACAGTCAGCAGAACAGATGCGCCCATTTGTGACCCCAATCAGTATACACTGTTCACAGATGTAGCGAAATATCGAAAGTGGATTTTGAGTTATTTGGATTAGAGTTTGAAATTGAAAAATATTGACCATCGACAGTTGTCGTGAATACAAAATAGATGGCGCTAATATCAAGAACGATCCTGTACTATATTTGTTAAATAGTGTAGTAAATGACCAATCATTTGTTTTCAAAAAAAGAAAAAATACACAGTTGATCAAGTTTGTTGCTTATCTTTTAATGAATATTGCTCTTTAATCCTTTTATCAGACGTTTTTTTATGTGATAGGTCGGCAAGCGAGCAGACTGATTACCTTATGGTAAGCAATCAGCGCCGCCCATGGACACCCGCAACATAGAGGAGTAACGAGTGCGTTGCCGACCTTTTATGGATTATGAATTTGGGAGATTTAGAGATTGAGGAGGGGAAGGATTGGGCCTCCGGTAACCTCACTCACACGGCGAAACACAACGCTGTGGTTGTTTCACGCCGGTTTTCTGTGAGGCCGTGGTATCACTCCGGTCGAGCCTACCCATTCGTACCGATGCATGGCTCTCCCTCACTTAAACGTGATAGTTTTACAAAATTACTAAGAAATAAATATGCGTATTCTTTATATACTACTATGAGTACACTTTGTCAATAACATGAATGCTGTAAGCTTAGGTAAACATTTATTTTCAGTCGCGGTTGCGGTCGCAAGCAATATAGCGGACCTCACCTCAACTGGGATGTAATGAAGTGGTTTTTACTCCGTCAGACTCTGACGTTTCCTCTCACTCCACCCAGAACTAGCGAAGTAATGATGTTCCTCTCTTAAAATAAAACAATTTATTTAGTCTGTACACTCAGAATACAGAACAAACCAGAAGGCGGCAACGCGCTTCATATTAAAGCCACTAAAACCACTCTTAGCTAGAGTAGTATGAAATTTCTACGATCAGTCAATTTTGGCACGTGGCATGTCGTGACGTATTTACGAGTATCAATTTTAATTTCACTATGCAGTCTTGTGTTATTATTACGAGTAAAAATAGAGCTGGAATTACGAAAAAAGTGGATAAGATTACATTTCATCTGTAAGCATCGACTGCAATAGTATATTTCATTAATTATTGATTTTCTTTTAACGATTTATTTTTCTATGACAATGATGCGGCCATTTTGTGAGTGTTGTCATTTTTGGAGTAAAATTTACCCACTTATTTATTTGTTGTGAGTTATATTGTTGTCCATTGTGGAACCTTTGTCATATTAGTTTTAAAATGGATAAAAAACATATTTACTAAAATTAAAATGGATAAAAAACACATTTACTATACACGTTGTGTATAGTCGGTGTAACTAAAATTAACACAGCCAGAAATCGTCAACTTTTATGATACCTGCATGAAATGTGTAAACAACTAGTCTGTTGCAATTATCGTAAGTTTTCCTATATTTTTTTGGGTTTTCCCAAAAAATATATACCCCCCTTTAGTAAAATTACCCCAAACCAAGGGAATTGTTCCCTGTCGGCAACACTACGCGGGTGGGAAGTGCGGCTGGCGGGGGGACTGACGTATTGTTTTTGGACACATTAGACAACATGCAATAATGAGTGAACGCGGATTCTGGTTTGTTCTGTATTCTGAGTCTGTACATAACTTTGACTGCACGGTTGGCCTGGTGGCTGCCGCGCAACGTGTCGCGGGTTCGATTCCCGCACGGAACAACTCTTTGTGTGATCCACAGATTGTTGTTCCAGGTCTGAGTGTGATTTGCATGTGAAATTGTATGTTTGTAAATACACCAACGACACAGGACAAAATGCTAGTGTGGGGACACGTTTTAAAAAAAGAAAATAAAAAACTTAGTTCCGTAGTTAAGCTAAAGCGAAATCTTTTTTATATATATACACTCTGACTAACTCAATAACTGTTTGCCAAATGATGATGACAATGAGTAAATATCTACCTATCATATTATAATTGCTTAGTTTATAGACTCACTAGCTACTCTCACGCGGTTTCACTCGCTGCTCGGCTCCATTTGATTGTAGCGTGATGATTTATAGCCTATAGCACTCAGGAACATTGTAGCTATCTATCAGTGAAAGAATTTTGGCAATCCGACCAGCGGTTCCAAAGATTCGGGCACGCTACTATAGCAGCGGTAAGACCCTTCTTTGAGGAGTGGCTTGAGAGACGCCACGGCGTCCTCACCTTCCGCCTGACGCAGGTGCTTACCGGGCACGGCAGCTTTGGTGGGTTCCTGTTTCGGATCCAGCGGGAGGAAACGCCCGAGTGTCGTCATTGTGAGGACCACCTAGAGGATACGGTGGAGCATACGGTAGCGGTATGTCCTGCCTGGGCTGAGCACCGCCGTATCCTCAGGGAAGTGATCGGCGGCGGTGACCTCTCGCGCCCGGCCTTAGTCGAGGCCATGGTGCAGCGTGAGAGGAACTGGGAAGCTCCTCCTTCTGCGAAGCAGTTATACTCACAAAAGAGGAGGCGGAGCGCGTGAGGGAACTATCCTCCTCGCGCCCCAGCCGCCGCAGAAGGCGACATTCCAGACATCGGGGATCGAGAGATGATCTCCGGTCACCGTAAGCGCGGGTCTGCGGACGGCGAGTAAGGGTAGCTCGCCGCCCGACCAGAACCGGACCCGAGCGTACGGCGCCTAGTGTTCCGCGCGCGCCTCAAAGAGCCACTAGACCACCACAGTCGAGGCCCTAAAGGGCAGATGTTTAGCCGGGGCTGCGGGGTAAGCGCAATGAGGCACCGCGACCTCGGCCCAGAGCAGGAGAAGGAACAGGGGCGTTTTTAGTCAGGAAGAGTCTGACACTCTCTCTCGCCTTACCCTGGGCGGGAGAAGTCATTGGATGATTTTCCCCTGACAAAAAAAAAAGGTTCCAAAGAATACCCCCTACATACAAAAAACTACCAACAAATTAATTCGAGTAAACCATAGCCCTAATCATTTCATAACAGCTGCCTCTTCAGAGCAAATTTTAAAAGGAGAAAAACTTGACTTGAACCGATAAATATATTCTGGCAAAAGTTTAAATGCGACGTCATTACTTGTTCGGGGTTCGCTGAAGGGGACCGTTTACTTAACAACGTAGGTAGGTAGGTACTGAAAAATGTAACAAGTTTTCATCAGATTGTTTGCTCAGTTAAAAGTGGAAGAGTTTTAGGAGTTTAACGTAATGTTACATAATCATGTATCATCATCATCAGCCTATAAGTGCCCACTGGTGAGCAAAGGCCTCTTCTCATACGGAGAAGGTATGAACATTAATCACCACGCTTGCTCAATGCGGGTTGGCGATTTCAAACTTATAATTAGAAATTATAAGACCAGGTTTCCTCACGATGTTTACCTTCACCCTCAGAATACAGGTTTGTTCTGTATTCTGAGCCTTCACCGTATGTCAGTGGTGTCTAAATAATCATAGAAAGTACATATAACTCGGAAAAACTCGGTCACATTGGTACTTGCCAGGTTTCGTACCGAAGCATGGCTTTAAAACACCAGTCTTAATACAAACTGTCCTACTATCCAATCAATACATAATTTTATCAAAACAGAATAACAATTACATACGATTCTCATCTACCATAGCACTTACTACAAGCAAAATACTGTTCACATGTAGCGCCTGAAACAATATGTATAGCAAAATAATTATTACGTGCAAATTAATTAATGGGAAGGCGCTTCAACACTAATTACAATATGCAAAAGTAAGTATGTTTGTTTATTTATTTGTTTACGATTAATCTCTTCTAAAAAATAAATTATTCCAATTTCTTTTTTGCAGTGAAATAAACATGTAACAACAATCACACTTTCTTCCATTGTATTATCAATATACCTTCATGATATTCGTTTTTTTTAGTTACTACCACGTAGTGATATCACGGCCTTAAAGAAAACCGGCGTGAAACAACCACAGTGTTGTGTTTTGCCTTGTAAGTGAGGTTACCGGAGATCCAATACTTCCCCCACCCCCTCCACCTCAATCCTAAAATCCGCAATCCTTAAATCCCTAATAATTCACAAGAGGCCGGCAAAGCACTTGTAGTAACTCCTTTGGTATTATGATTGTCCATGGGCGGCACCCATTGTCTGAATAGAAACAGTTAAAATAAAGCAATGGTAGAGATACCCTTTACCCATTAAGAATTGAGAAGAATCTCCTAAAGTATACAAGATTACTGAATCAACGGCAAACTAATTCATTACCCAACAAAGAAATTAATCAAAACACTTAAACAAAACCGACGCCTACTCATAAATTATTCAATAAATTTATTACGTACATTTACAACACTTTGCTATAACAATTTGAGCAGGCGTTTATCAATGTTTAATATTTGCGTGTATGAACAGCTTATGGACCCGCTTGCTTTCACGTAATACCTAAACCAAATATATAATGTTATACGGCTCTTTATAATCCGCTTGTCATTTTATTAAGATGTATCGAAGAATAAATTAGGAGGAATAGACATGAAATTACGATGCTTTTAGTGAAAATGTGTGTCAAAATAAATGATCGTAATATTTTCTAAACGATACCTGATATTGGTATAACTTTTATATGGAATAGGAGGCAAACGAGCAGACGGATCACCTGATGGTAAGTGATCAGAGCCGTCCATGGACACCAGCAACACCAAAGGAGTCTTGAAGACTTGCCTGCCTTTTAAAAATAAGAAAGGACGTTTCTAGAATGCTTAAAAGACGTATCGTAAATATTCTAGAATAGCTTTAAAAAATGTTATAGTATAATTCTAGAAAAGTTTTTAGTTATTGTTTTGTTTTTGATTACACAGTTTACGCAGCACGGAGGCTTCTTTCTTCACGGAACAACTCTTTGTGTTTTGTTTTTTTGGGACAAGCCTACCACAACTTTCATAAACCGCAGCAACTACTGTAAGCCAGGATCTACAATAAATACAACCATGAAAACACCGGAACATTGAAGTACGGCGCGTCCCAGGGACATGAATGACTGTCTTGGATCCCGCAACGAAATAAATCAGAAGATATTATTTGAGGAGAAGAAAAAACTAAACAGTAAATAGTTTTATGTATTGTGACTCTTTGTGTGTTATTTTGAACGCAAATTGTTGT